ATATTTCATTTAATGATGAAGTTTTAATTATATGTTTATTTTTCACAGTGAAAGAGTTAATAACAATTTTGGTAATCATTAATCCATATAGTGTATCTTATGTATTTTGGTTGATGAAAAAAATTGAGAAAAGACAGATGACACATTCAATTAGAAATGATCTATTAAGTGAATATCTGATTTGTTGATTCATAGATTCGAATGTCACATTGAGCCGAAATGAAAGACCTTCTTCCTCGTTCAAATGACATATTTAATTTATTTTAACCTTAAATTATAATTCTCTAAGTTGTTGAATTTAATTTAATTTAAGGACTAGTATAGTTTACGGTATGGCAAGATAGTTTTTCATCAAGTTTAGATTCAGTTTTGTAATAACATGAACGTGAAAAACATGACATTCACGTACACACATATATATTATATATATCACATGAGGGATGACGTATGAAACTTAAATGGTAAGGAGGGATTTTTTTTTTCTGCATTAAGAATAAATTGAATTAATTTTATTAAAGAAATTTTGCAAATTTTACTTATGGATAAAAATGTAATCATTCTTTTTGGTAAGTTTCAAAGGTTTTTGATAATATTTTTGTTGAAATCATAAATGAAAAGACGAAAAGTTTTATCATTCAATTTACTTTTTTTTGTGTTTATTTAGTTTTACTGAAAAAAATTTATGCAAAAAGCTTCTCTCATTTTTTTGTCACAATGGTTATTTATCAATTATTAATTAATTTAATAACAGATACTCATTGTACTGTAAATCTGTCATCTTTAATGTGACAATTTTTGCAAGATGTATGGAAATTTATCATTTCATTTTATAACTGTAAACTAGTTAGTATTATTTTTCAATATATTTGTTTAATCATATATTTATTGTTCATTTCAGCCTTTTGCTAATTTCATTATTTCTACTATTTTTTTTTTCTCATTCTTTCAATACTATTTAAAATTAATTGAGAATTCTTTGGGGAGAATATTTGTGATACACTAAAAGAATTCATAGTAAGTCTATTGAAATATTCGAAAAATTGCAAGACTATCGAAATTTTACTTTCCATTCTTTTTTTTTGTGATAAACAATCAGTTAGTTTTGTTAAATTAAAACAATCAATTAGTTTTATTAAATGGATAGTTATTAAAGTAAATTAAAGTAAAAGATAAATTTAAAAAAAAAATTTTGAAAAAAAACAAACAAACGATTAGTTTTATTAAAGTAATTTAAAAGATGCATCCATTCGAGATTTTAAGATTCATTAAAAAGGTGTAATTAGCAAGAGAAGAATGCTAAATTAGCTTGATTGGAAACGGTAAATATAGTATGTTGAAATTATCAGAGAGATAAAGGATGAAAAGAGATGAAGAGAGTATTTAAATTTAAATTTCATATAGCAATTCTCTTTCACATATTAAAATAACAAATTTTAATAGTGCAAAAAAGAAACCGAACAATTATCAAATTAGCAATGATTTAAGCATTATTTTGCATTTGTTGTAAATTTCCGTCACCATAAAGGAATAAATTTGAAATTTCCGAATAGGTTCATATCAATCCATTTTCCGGATAATTTCATACTAGCTCATTTACCGGATAGATTCATGCTATTTCAATTTCCGAATAGATTCATATCAATCCATTTTCCGGATAATTTCATTCTAGCTCATTTACCGGATAGATTCATGCTATTTCAATTTCCGAATACGTTTATATTACTCGTAACAATGTCCAAACGTTTATTTCCTTTCTTTTCAACATATTTGTAACATTGTTGATATGATAGAATTGTTAGCAAAGTTTAAAACGGAATGACATGTGGTTGACACTACAAACTTGTCCTCATATACAATCATGATTCCCCTTATTGCAACTGTTGTATGACATTTTGCAGCAAAATGCTAGCCAGCATAAACTTGAAAGCAAACTAGGTCCCGGGGAGATTTGAACTCCCGTCGCAGGATTCAAAGTCCTGAGTGCTAACCACTACACCACGGGACCTTATGAACTTAACTTATGTCTATTTCTATAAAATATTGCATTGTGAAATGCTGTTCATTGTAGAAGTTCAGAGCAATGAAC